GGTTTGCATGGCGTACCCATACCTCCGTTCCAACCAGCACGTCGTAAATGACGTTTCCGCGCTTGCACTGGATCGTGCCTGGCGTCCATTTCGCGTGTCCACCCCGATAATCACGCACAAGTACTGGCTGACCAGGTCTAAACGAACGTTGCTTGGCACCAAACCGCCGATTGAAATCACGTTCCATCTTTAGGTTCCTTTCACCAGCTATGGACTCTGAGGATGGCCGAACTGCATCATATGGCATGCGAAGTTTTCTCTTCATCATTGCCTCTGCTGGTGATATTCCACCCGGTGTTTGTAAATTTTGTGTAGATCGATACAGAAATAGGAAGCGGTCGATCACCTCCTCTATGTCTCCCTCCCTCCTTGATTTGAGGAGAGCGCGTTTGAATGTATCCACAAACCTCTCCGCTTGGCCATTCGATTGTGGGTGGAATGGTGGAGACCGCACGTGTTTGATGGCGCAACGTTGGCAGAATTCCGTGAATGTGGCCGAAGTAAACTGTGCTCCATTGTCCGTCACCAATGTTTCAGGGCAGCCGAACCTGCTGAAGATTTGTCGCAACCTAGAGACGGTTGCGCTGGTTTTCGTGCTTCTCATGAGGAACACTTCGGGCCACTTGCTATAAGCGTCGACCACTATGAGAAAGCTCTGGCCATTGATTGGGCCTGCAAAGTCTACATGAACACGACTCCAAGGTTTAGTTGGTTTAGGCCATGAGCGGAGTTCAGTCTTTGGCGGTGCCCTTGAGGCGGTAGCGCAGTTGCCACAACTTTTAGCTAGCTGCTCCAGCTGCCTGTCCATAAACGGCCAATACACATAACTTCTGGCAAGCGCTTTCATTCGGTTGAGCCCTGGATGTCCTGCATGGAACTGTCGCAGCACTCTTTGTTGCAACGCCTGCGGGATGACTACTCTGTCTGAGAACATGATGCAATCGTCCACAATGGAAAGCGAATGTCTTCGCTGATAGAACTGCTGCATTTCGGCAGATGAACACGAACGTGGCCAGCTGGTTCTGTGGAAGTGTGTCACCTTCTTCAGGATTGGGTCTCGAAGCGTTTCGGCCCGCACAGCATCGGCCGTAACTGGCATACCATGTAGTGCCTCGTTCACCAGGAATTTGACATCAGGTTCGATCTCAACTGAGGCAATGATGATGTCCTCGTGTTCTTGTTGCTGGGAATCAATGAGGCGTGACAACGCATCTGCTTGGCCCAGCGAATTCGTTGACTGATAACGGATTTCAAAATCATAGCCCAGCAATGTAAGTGCCCATCGTTGGAGTCGATTGGCTGTATAGGCAGGAATTCCCTTCTTCGAGCCGAAAATGGCCAGCAGCGGCTTGTGATCCGTCAAGAGTTTGAAGCGGCGACCATACAGCATCTTGTGAAATTTCTTCACAGCAAACACTATGGCCAATGCCTCCTTCTCGATCTGACTGTAGTTTCTTTCAGCTTTCGTTAGCGTCCTGGCGGCATGTGCGATCGCCTTCTGAGATCCATCTGGGAACGTATGGGAAACTACGGCACCGATCCCTAGACTCGATGCGTCTGTGGCAAGGACAATTTCCCGGGAAGGATCAAAATGAGTTAGGAGTAAGTCTGAAGCCAACAATGACTTGACCCGCTCAAACACAGTCTGGCATTCTGGCGTCCAATTCCAGGTTTGGCCCTTGCTCAGCAACTTATTCAATGGGGCACGCAGGCGATGTAGTTCGGGCAGAAAAGCGCTGTAATGACTGATTAGGCCACAGAATGAACGCAGCGACTGCAAGTCCACAGGTGGGGGCATCTTTTGAATAGCTCGGATATTTTCTGGATCAGGGCGACGACCGTCTTTTGAGAAGATGAAACCGAGAAACTTGATGGTTGGTGTAAAAAAGGTACACTTATCTTCGCGGATACGGAAACCATATGACTGGATACGTACAAGCACTTCAGCGAGCCGCTGAAATAGTTCTTCTGCCGTCCGACCCATTAAAATGATATCATCCAGGTACGCCGCAGCTCCAGAAACTCCCGCGAGCATGGTGTCCATCAGCTGCTGGAAGATGGCTGGTGCTGTTTTCACGCCAAAAGGGAGGCGGTTGTATTGGTACAAGCCACGATGAGTGTTGATGGTCAGCAATTCTCTTGAGCTTTCATCAACCTCAACCTGGAGGTAGGCATCGGACAAGTCGAGCTTGGCGAAACACTTCCCACCATTCAGCTTGGCAAAGATATCTTCTGGTATCGGAAGGGGGTACTGATGGTCGTCCAATGCGGCATTCAGGCCAGTCGAAAAATCGGCGCAGACTCGCACTTTACCGTTCGGCTTTTTCACAGCAACAATCGGCGCAGCCCATGAAGAGTAGTTCACTGGTGTGACGACACCGGCTCGTTCCAGTCGGTCGAGCTCTTGATCAACTGCTGTCATGGCTGCATACGGTACCGGTCTTTTTGCTCTAAAGACTGGCTTGGTTCCTTCACGAAGACGCAAGTTTGCTTTGAACTTAGTGCAGTGGCCGAGACCATCTTCGAACAAGGTGACAAACTGCTGCTTTAGCTTTCTGGTCATCTCTACTATCGACAATGATGAATGTACTGGGTCGGTTTGTACTGTATTGCAAATCTGACTCATTGGAGCATCAAACAGTTGTAAGTCTTCCATCCAGTCAAGTCCAAGGAGGTTCAAGTTTGGTCGATCAGACAAGTAGCAGGTTCCGGCCTTTTCCACTCCGTTGAATGCAATTTTGCAATTTATTTCTCCGACCAACTTCAGCACTCCACCGGATGCATTGTGAGCGATTTTGTTGGAATCAATCATTTTCGGCTTCTTTATGTGCTTCCAAGTGTTCTCGGAAATAATCGTTATATCTGATGCCGTATCGAACTGCAGCCGGGTTGGGATTCCGTTGATAAGCACAGTGATAAATCGGCGGCGTGTTCTAGAATGGCTTTGAAACGTAGCAATCACCGATAGTGATTCTGCGTCAGGTTTTCTGAAATTCTTCCTTCGGAAGAACTGCTTCACATTTCTTGGCCGGGACTGATGGCAAAAGTCTTCCTTGTGGCCGCGTTTATGGCACTTATCACAAATATGACGCTTGAATGGACAGTATCGTGCGAAATGCCATTCACCACATGACCAACAAGGTGTAGGTGGCTTGTTCGGCTTTCTGTTGAACGACTTATTCGAGCCAGATTTTCTTGCTTTTTGCACAGCATGAACAGTATCCGCAATGGTGGGGCAACTCTGCTCAATCATAGCCGTGTCGTGTTTCAAGGTAAGTAACCGTTTGCATTCGCGTACAAGAGACTTCAATGTCAAATCTGGGTCTTGATCCAAATTAGCAAGGAGCCGAGTGCGGATTTCCGCGTCGCGTGGAGACTGTAAAGCACTGACAAATATAAGACACTTAAACTGGTCATCCGTCAAACAGCGTAACTTGAAACGTTCACATTCGCGGTTAACCATGTCTGCTAGTGCCCCATAATCGTCTGTATCACGCTTTACAATTTTTAGACATTGATAGCGAATGCTAAACAATGATGTCGACTCACCAAAAATTTCTTTGAGTGTTGCCACTGCTTCGTTGAAAGTGATGTCCTTCGGCTCTTTGGGCAATATGTGGTCAAGGAATCTTGTATATTCATTAGTTCCGAGCTTGCGGAGAAAAATGCGCACTTTCCATGAATCATCTTGACGGCTGAAATCCGGCTGTAACATATCCTCCCAACGTTTGAACCACGCCTCGAAAGTGGATTCGGAATCAGCATCATAATGAAATTCAGTGATTGAATTCGTAAGAAGATCAAGTGAAACAGCTTGCGTGTCCCGTGTAGCTGCTCCGTTTGATTGTACGTTTAAGCACTGCGTTAAACTTTCAATCAGTTTCATTTGTGCTTCCATCTGGGATTGTTGCTGAAGAAGCAGCTTTTGAAAGTGTTCGGCAGAAAAATTTGTAACATTTCCGTGCTTGTCCGTCGCCATTGTTAGATCTTCCCTTTTTCGCTATTCCGAATTAACCACCCAGAAATTTCTCCGCAGCAATTTTAGCCCAGCCGAAGAAAATTCAAAATGCCAACAGCCTTGACCACGAAAAACGTGTTAACAAAAACTCTGCCAACGTAGCCAGAAAATGCCGCCGAAAACACTGTCCTCTCAACTCTGAGGCAAAAGTCCAATTCGCCGGGTGTTTGAAAACGCATTCGTCCGCTCGATCGATGGCTTGATCGACCGCACGGGTAGGCGATTCCCTTCAGCCCAGCTTTCAATCATCATTATATATTTTCCCTTTTTATGTTTTTATCTGATTCCCGGATATCGTAAGTGAAACAAAGACTTCAGAATGACCTTTGCTGTACTTGTTCAACACGCCATCAGTCTGCAGCTCTTCTTGCAGTTATTTGACAAACCAGTGTGGAAGAGCCGATAACGCCAGGTAGGTCAAATAAGGTACCGTTACGTTTTCCCATGTGAACAGATTAGATATTTTCGGTTTGACTGCGTCATAATCTGGGTCGGAATTCAAACCTACTGTCATAAAACGCACTTTGGAAAATCGGAAAAAAGCTTACGGGAACACGTCAACAAGAAGCACATAAATGCACCTTTCGATTGTTATTATGGTTTCCGAGAAAACGAACTGTTGCTATGACGTCAGGCTTACGAATGCTGATAGCACAGGAGTAGCCTAAGACAACCGTGTTCCTAGAGCACACAGTTAATCCAGTACTTTTGAGTGTGGAGAGTGGTTTCTGTTTTCAATACTGTGCCCCGGTCGCAAATTAGGTGAAAGGACATACCTCGACCGCATAGGCTTGGACCTACAGTTCGCTATCACATCGACAAGTAGTTTACATATTCTTCGCTAAAAGCTATTGCCTGTATGCATCACCCCAAAGTGAAGATCCAGCGCCGTGCGATATGCCAAGCAAATGGCAAAGAAATACGATCGAGGAATGCATAGAGGGGAATTATATTACAGCAGGGGATTTCGTCGTGTGAGCAGTTATGCTGAAATAGGGTCATCGGCCAGTTCAAGATTGCGGAATTTCTCGGCGTCATAAAATCCGGCTTTTACCACACGACGTGCGAAGAAGCGTCCGTTCAGATCCAGCACGGCTGTAAAGATAATCGGAAAATGTATCGTCACAAGCGTGCTCCGGTTGATCACAATCCACTGATAAATGTGGTGTTTTAGTTACGGAACTAGGTGTAGTAATATGCGACACATAACTTAAGTATGGGTTTACAGCCGCTCGATAGCCGAAGGGGTTAGGCGTCTTTCTTGCCACCGGCTCGAATCTGAACATGTTCATGCGACCTTGTATGTGGCCCTCGTGTTGCAACGAAACGTCGATACAGCGTACGGGCATAATGCTTATATTTTTTTTGCGTTTTTCCACTACCACTAAATGTGCAGCTAGGTAATTACGGTAGTAAGGTTTGATCTGCTCATCATTGTTATTTAACTTACGTGAATTAGTTTTGGGAAAAACGAGGGTAGAAACATATCACCAAACTCCGGGGCGACCAATTCCAATTGTACTTAGAGACTTTGGTGCAGCTAGAGGCGAGTCGTGCGATGCTTAGAAGAGTACAGCTAATGAAAGCGCTCATTCTGTGCAACGTGAGGCAAGTAACAATTTGCAGTCAGTTGGTGGTGTCGCCCCTTACGTTGGGACACCTAAGAGACTCGTATAATGATTGGTAAAATCTTGCATTTTGCCGACTGATTCGTCAGTTTTATTGCGGAATGATATGTATCTGTGTCTAATAGTGGAAATTCGCACAGTTGTGAAATATCTCCGCGTGTCTATGTGCAGAACATCAGACAAACCTTACCTTTTGTGGCTGATTCCTCTGAATCGAACTCCACGAAAATGCGTACCGCTTCGTCGTCTGGAGCATCCGGAAGCTCAAAAATCATGCATGTAACCACTTTGCCATATTTCGCACATTCCTCGGCCGTTTCCGGTTCCAAATCGTCGTCTACCTCACCAGAACCACACATATTGCGTAACAAAATAACCTGGAACATGACAGAGAAATCATTAAATGTCAAGCATGTATTCCCACAGGAAAAGATAATGCTTCGCTACTTGAGAGACGCAAGTGCTCTATCTTCAGGCAAACTTCGCTCCCGTCCTACTGGAAAAAGGTAAAATTCACTTCAATTAAACAGCACGGAAGTGTGGTGGACCCAGTTGCCACACATGCGTCACGAGGATAAAAAACAAATAGTAATGAAGAGAAAATAAAATAGGAAGTAAGCGGAGTTAGGGAAAGGTGAGTCAAATTATTTGGGATGGAATATTAAAAGCGCGATGGGAGCGCCACTAACTGCGTGGCTGCGTCATGACTCTTGGGGTCTCCAAGCGCTGTGGTGGGCCATTCCGAGCAATTGTCTACCAAGACGGACACGTACCAGGGTGACCAAATATTTGTCAACATTCTCATGACTTTTTGTCTAGTCATTAGTTTACCAAAGGGCACAGGTAGGACAGCCTAACCAACGCTCCAGTGAGGCACCGCAAGGTTGTTTTTCCAAAACACCAACTGGAGTATCTCAGCATTACTTACACGGTGTTCCCATCAGATGCGAACAATGCTTCATAGGCACCGGCGATCAAAGACAATCAATCAATTGACGTCTTCAGCGCGAAGTGGTGAAAACTCCGATTCATACACTAACAGCAGTATGCACTCCACCCATTCTTGACTGAAAGGTTGATATCCAGCCGCGTTCACGCGGGTCTTACCGATACGCTACCAAGACAATCGGACCGGTTGACTAATTCCGGGTGTTATTAAGTGGTAACTGGTACCCACGGTGTGTTGTCCAAGTTCCGCAACAGTGGTTTGATGGTGCAGAGCACAGCAAAATGTAGAACTCTACGCGATAGTCTACTCAATGGTGCTTGTATAGCCACTGGATCCAACCCGAAGAGAGCCACGTCATCCGCGTACTCAAGGTTTGTCAGTCGCTGACCTAGTAGAAAAAGGGCAGAGTACAGGTGTTACACCGGGATCTTGTATCGACATTTCGCTGGAAAGTAACCATCATCAGTTGCACGCGCACTGCGTTACTGTGAGATCACCTGTACTAACACGGGCTCAGACTGGTGACCGTGTATCACAAGCAATAAAGCTGAACCACCCTGCCGTCTATGAACCGTAAGTTTATGTGGTAGTACGGTAAAGTTCGTAACCGCGTCTAATAGGGAGCAATAAAGTGCCAATGACAGAAATCCTCAGGGGTGTCAAATCTGTTCCACGTCAGAGAATCTGAGTTCGTAGCGGCGCGATATGCATTCAGTTCGGGTGCACTTGACTAAAGTGCATGTCTGATCTGGGTTAGGTGGTTACGGCGTGAGCCTGAGAACAATTTGAGCACAAATCAGATCGTAGTTTGGCACTTCGTTACTTGACTGTATCACGCAAAATGAGCCGATATCGCCCGTGGAAGGCAATTTAAATGTCTTCCTTTAATTCAACAAAATCATCCAATCGAGAACAAAACACTGTACGACAAACGGAAGTTAAGAAACCGAAAGATCATAGGTCAAGTAACCTTCGGGGTAATTTTATTCATAGCACAAACACGTATGTCGTATTAAAAATGCACAGTAAGACCTGGTAATGTGTCCTGGGAAGGAGTCACCGATCGATGAACCGGTTCGTAGTATTTTGCTAACATGGTGGTTCAATGTTTCCGCTCATCGTCAATTGGACAGTCGCGGCAGTTACTAGATGCCAAAACGCTAGCTTCCAACCGAAGCCATGTGCGGCGATATCCACACACGAATTCATCTGCACAACTAATCATGATGCAGTTAGTCACAAACACACATTGACTCAGGCTGTTGGAACAGGCTAATTATCCGGTCAAATCTGGGGTGTGAATAATAATAAATAATAATGTGTCAGCTGTACGCCGTAACGGCGCTTCGCTGCCGTGCGACCACCACCAGTCGCACGCGGGCTGTGTATACCGCGAGGATGCTCACCCCTACGCGGATTCGAACCCGCGCCGCAAGATTACGAAACAAGCTCGTTACCTCTAACTCCGGGCCGACGGGGTGTGAATGCAACAGCAACCACTGGGGTAAGAATGATCACATGCTTAGCGCATATATGCACTGTCGGTGGCCTGGATTAAAACAAACGGTTCCGGGGTTATTTGTCTTCTGACCACCACTGGAGTAATACAACAAACCCATGGTTAGAGCAATTTTTGAACCACAAGGGTGTTTTAAAGGAGCGTTCTCAACGGCCTGACCGAAATTCATGGCATTGCAAATATCTCCAGTGCAGATCATTTGGTTCGTGAGGTGGCACACTTTGTGACACGGAAGTATTCATGCCCCATACGATATGCAGCTATTCATCAAATAAGCGGTTCTGTCTGGACTACAGTCTTGGGGCAACAGTAAACCATCGGATAACTGGGCACAGCGAACAAAGAGTTCCAGCAAAAGTAGTGGCGATGGACGAGAGACATGAGTTTAGAAACCGAACTTACGCAACTTCGATTTTCTGGCAGGGGCAAATTGTTGAACGTTTCTTCCGCCGTCACATCCGACACTGGCAATGGTCTTGCAGTCTGTGAATGTCTCAATCGCTGCTGTTGATCCCGTTCGTGGATGATCTTTCCTCCCAAACGACTGGTCTTCTCCACTACCAGCGCAGTCGACATACCCTGACTCTCTCGTCCAAGTCCCTGGCCTTCACGGTAGCCCATCCGCGCCATCATTTTTGCCGCGACAACGTTTCTACGGAGAGTAGCATAATCGTATGGCAGGGAGTTATACAAGTACAATGCTGAAGTATAGTGATATGGCTCGGAACGCGAAATATAAAATGCCAAAATCGCTGTTCATTTATAAATGAAAATAGTATTGTGAGTAGAGTCTCCAGAAGAGCAAATGCATGGAGCTCTCCCGATTTTGTTAGCCTAACACGTTTGATGTGAAGGTTCGCTATAGAGGCTGTTTATCTAAAAGAAGCAGTCGAACTGAAGGGACGGTTGCAAACGAGGTGACAAATACAGATGGTTCGTGAAGTCCACATGTGTCATAGTCAAGGGAGAAGCATCGCGTACATTCCAAACTTGCTGGTTGCCGAGACCGCGTCGCTGTCGTCCGTATCCATTGCACTTTCAGCGTTCGATTCCATTGTCGTATCTTCCACCAAAGAAGAAGGTGGTGCTATCGCAGCACCCTTGTATGGGGGTCGGGCTACTTGCGCACGTCGCCCAGAAGCCGCGGTTAGTATGTCATCATCGTCCTCCTCTTCGTCTGAGAGGTCGGGGCGCCTGCACATTCCAGACACTTCGCCATCGATGCGGTGCGCAGCAGCATTTATAGCTGATTCCTAAGTGAAAGCGAAATGGTTGAAGAATGTCAGATGGGAATAAAAGTGAGACGAAAGCGTAATGTATGTTTCACTGAGCAATGTTACATGGACGCGGTACATGCGCTGGATCCTACCTCTAGAGTGTGATGAATGATGACTTCCACACTATCTTGGCAATAAAAATAGAATCAAATGAATAAATGGTTAGTCAGACACTCTACGACTAGCTCGAAGGCGAAAAAAGCGATTTGGGGTAAATTAAAAGGGGCAGATTTTCTAGAATGAAGGGGATAGCAATCAAAGGTATTCGATTGATTGAATGTCAAGTTGACATTCTGTGGAGTTCTGAAAAACCACCTCTCTTTTCGAATGGACTAATGTAGATTATTTTGCATCTTCCATCCGAAAAACACCATGTACAATGTCTTTTGGTAAAATTCTTCCCGTATCGTTGTTATGCGACCGACCGATGAAGAAGGTACGCTAAAGCAGGTAGTTAACAGAGGGCACCGATGTATAAGTATCAGACGATTTTCGGCCGAAGAATGAAAAGTGTTATTTATTCGGTGGCCTACTCAAATGTGAATGATTTCTTGCAGGCAATGGCGATTTATGTCAGTTGCACATCCTCTGTTTATCCAAAGGATCCATGTATTTAACAAGCGTGTTCCATGACCTGTTTGCAGTTTTACGATCGCTTATAGGAGTGGCATCGGGCGGAAGGAAATTTCATTGAACGTTATGTTAGGGGCAACAAATTACTTACATCGAAGCAGAAGTATAAGGCAATGGATCCAGCAATACGCCAGTACATCGTGCCAACCTTTCGTGACCACCTGCGCTCGCTGTGGGCTAGGAATACTACGGAATCAGCTGCTGTATCTCTCCGCTGATTCGAATCGTCGATCTATGGATTACAGGCCAGACTCTTGAACCAGTCGGTCGAAGGCCGCTTACTCATATGAAGCGGTTATTAATGAATCGATCTTTTTCGAAGTGTACTCGCTTGCAGCAGAAAGCGACGGTGGCCCCGTTTCCGAACAAAGATGAGCAAGTTTAAAAAAAAACTCAGTTCCGTTGGAATATGGCGCTGAGTGCGGTTCTGGGTAGTCACTAACCTCAGCCCGTCTCCTTTCTCTCTTAATTCGTGCGAGTTCTTCGTATTCGTTTGGTAGGAGCGGATTGTACTCATCAGAAACTCCTAGAGGCAAATTTGGCTCGCCAAACATTAAACCCACGGCGGACATGGCAGGAGAAGAGTATCCACCGAGACTGCGGCAAGAAGCGAGGAGATTTGCACGTTCCAAGCGACCGGTGTGTTGATTAAATCTGCAAACGCACAAATATCAGTATATAGCGGTTGAACATGTGGTATCAATAAACTCATCATAAGGCGTTATGGTGAAAAGTGCGAAAGATGGGATAACCAAAGGAACCATACGAGATTCAAAAGTGCGATCGCGTCCGAGTTTTAGGTAGATCCAAGGACCAAAGCGCATTTATGAGCTTGTTACTACATCGACGTATTGTTGCAAGCGGGAGAGCAAAAACAATTGGGTGAGACAGACGACGGCCCTGGTAATCTTAACTAACCAATAGAGAGATCGGAATCGTACATCAGCCTATTATTAGAAAATACATAAGACCAGAAAAGACGGAGTAGTGGAACAGTTGCACCCTTCTCGCTACCACCAAAGTTTTGGATGTAACCGGATGCTCAGAGATGTGAATCTTCGATTAATATCGGTTAAGCGGTACGTGAAAGATGTACACATTGTGGTAATTATCGGTGACTTGGCTGGACGCATGTATGGACAGTAAATCATAGCATTAGGAAAGCTGACAGTGCAATTTGTTAAACTAAAGTCCGATATCTATCCTGTGGTTTTCAGCCGCGGTGCAGATCTTGAACCACAGTATCGGTCAGAGTGACAGATCAAATCGAGCAGATGCGAGGGTATATTGCATCGAACGTGTGCTTGTGTAGTACATTTTCTTGTCCGGAATAAACAGACGTGATCAGTTTGCGGGGCTAAAGCAGTCCATTTCAATCAATGTGTGTGATCGCAATCTCGACTAAACTGTGAGATCCCCAGCAAGGATGCATAAACCACTGAATTATTGTTCATCAGTATTTCTCAAAAGCCAACGAGAGGTTGGTGTGGCGAGATAACAAACGCTAATTCCTATTCTCCTTGCATACGCTATGCAGAATGTAGCATATATAATTAAACAAGTCAACATCACGTATACCTTCGTAAACTGTAACCGTAAATAACAAAGCTCAAGGAAAACAAAAACGGTTATCCCTACGTTAAATGCAGATGGATTAGAATGAACGCTGACAATGTGCTCTGTGTTACACAACGCTGATAAAAAAAATCGTCAGCTGTACGCTGTAACGGCGCTCCGCTGCCGCGCGACCACCACCAGTCGCACGCGAGGACACCCGCTCCTACGCAGATTCGAACCGGTGAACTTAGGATTCCAAGCCAGGCGTAAAGACTAATCGGGCACCGGTCGACAACGCTGATGGATGAATTGATGAGGCCATTGAGCCTAAAAGTCTACCAGGTCCATGTACAACCAACTTAGTAGGACAGATTTTGAAACTGGTTCTGGAGGGATGAGCTCTATTCTTAGAGAGGATAAACTTGACTTTGCACGCCTTCCAACTCTCGGCAAAAACCCTCAGTGAAGTTTCTAAGAAATAGCGCTTCCTATCAAAAATAGAAAGAGACTTTTATGATCGAAAGTGTTTGTAAAGCCCCGTACTGTGGTGATGCCTAAGTTCATCTGCTAACCCAGTGAATCTAAGAAACTATAACACTAAGAATCCATGGAATCATGCTGACGCTTCCGATTGTAGCTGGACGAACCCACGCTACTTGGTGAGGTTTACTGCACTTACCCACAAAAACAGTTACCTTAATGACATTGCGAATCATTTTATCGAAGATCGGATCGGTGTGAAGGAGTGGAGTCCCGATGACAGTGGGGAAGATATACTGGTCCATTATGCTGATGAAATATAGGCACTCCAATGTCATTGTGATACACTGTATGCCGCGTTTCCCTTCTATCATGTCTACAGTGGTTAGCGTCATCTGCGCCCTGGAGCTCAATCGCCACCTCATCCAGAAACGGAGTACTCCAACTGCGTCCTTAGATTGTGTGAGAAAAACAGCGACATAATGGGCTCATATGGTGAAACCGTTTTGTCCCTGGCCTTGTGTGCACCAGCAACTTTTCGAGTAACTCAACGCCTTCAATAGATCACTTCAAGAGGATAGCCCCACAACCGCTGAAATCGTGAAATAGATCAACTTGCTTTGAAAAAGTTGGGAGTATAAAAAAGATCAGAAGGCAACCTGTCATTTGTTAGTCCTACCAGACCTGAGGCCCTGAACTTAACTGTCCCTTATACCAGGACACCGGAGAAGTAAAGAGAAAAATTATAGTTACATGCAAACATGTGCTTAGAAGAGCAGACTTTCCAAGAAAGGCTTAACTTTCACGTACTAGGCAAAGTACCGAAGTTAATTCATGTAAGACGCCCATTTCTGCGAATCCCAAAGAGGAAATGAGCGGAAAACTTTCGACAAACAATTGTTTTCCATTAGTTCATCATAAGATCGTTACACTAGTAGACGTTAAGTTGGACTAGATTAGATTACTGTACAGTAGAACAATTGATTAAACGATTCAAATTGGTTAATCGACATTGATCAGGTGACTAGGTCACGGATGTCATATGAGGGTTGGGATGTGATCCCCTCCTTTCGTAAGCGGCTGGCCAAGACAACTAGCAATTGAACTATCTTTTTGGATGCAGAAGTACGGATTCACCAGTCTTATGCATACCGCCTCCGCGGTAGCAATCAGACGATTCCTTATTCTGTGCTTCGGGTGTGATGGTACTTTGTACACGATGTCAGAAGCGGTTTGTTTGTCCACATGGTGTCCGGTGTCCATCAGATGGTTTGTTATTGAACTGCAGCTGGTTCTGTTTGTCTGGTTGGTGAGCCAATGCGGAAGATGTTCTTTGATTCTCTTACCTAAGTGTCTGGTTGTTCATCTAATGTACCTAGACCTACAGGGACAGGTAAACCGATAAGTTATCGTTGACTGGAGACAATCAGGCACTTGGTCTTTGAATCTCGGAACAAATAAGGGTTGGCTCGTATAAATCACATTTAGATCAGCTGCGTTAAAAGTCTTTCCGCAGCTTTGTATCAGCCTGTGTTTACAGATCTCTGCTGCGTTGTCGCCCTTGATAGAATAGGAAATTACCGAAAATCGGTACAGCGGTCTGGTAGAGTTAAGTTTCAGAGCACATCTCAAATTCTGTGAGATGACGATGCTTAGATTCATACGTATTGCATGCCAACACCTTTCGTAACTATCGGAAAGATACGGTCGGCGAAAATCGCTGTTATGTTTAGGAGAGGCTGTCGTGCAGAGAATGGGGAGCAAAATAACTTTAGAAATTTGCTAAACGACCACGGTTACTCACAAAGTCGGTAATACCAACTCAAGGACATATGCCTATTGCAGCGTGAAACGCGTTAACTTAGATTTCACAAGTCGAGCGATGGACGTCGCTAGTCAAACGACTGTGTAATTCGGACGACATCGTGGGATTTGCAAAGTGGGCATCCATGAGGAACTATTCCACCAAGATACAACCAGAGCGGTTACGACAAAGATGGTGCAAACGGCTTCTGCCACTTAATAGAGAAGATCAGGTTGTGCTATTCAATGCGCTAGGCAAGTAGTTGTTTAACGAAACCTGCGATGAACTGAAGAGACAGCGAAGTACCAGTACCAAAATAACCAGTGAGCCGATTCTCAATGGGCGTGTAGATAGCGAGTCGCACGGATAATCCATGTGAGTCTGTCGATAAGACGTCCCTGTTAGTTGACTTCGGGTTGAAAGAGGATTATAGGCAGTGTAACAAGGCTGTGGCATAATCGTGCAGTGCTACTACAGATGTTCCTTACGCGGTTGACGTCTAAGAACAACCGGAAAAACAGAAGCCATGGTCTGCCTGGATCCAGGCGGTAAAACCGCAATATTTCGAATATGAAGCTGGAAACAAATCGCGAAGCAATCTGGTTTCTCCCTACTCCAGTGAAATGCATTGTAAGCATCAAAAACCCGGAAGAGATTCGAGGAGCAATAGGAGTAAAAAGGTACATAGAAAGCTAGCAAGATATTGATCGTAGCTTGAGGAAAGTTGTGAGCACAGCCTTCGCATGTGTATCGTAGTCGAAACCCAAGGGAAGTACGTGACCACGCAAACAACCTAATTGATGTCACGTGTATACATGACGAAATAAAAAGATAATCATCGCCTGCAAACTTCACCTTTGCGAACCAGCCTGTACTACGCGATACAAATAATGTGAGGCAGACCACAAAAGTCAAAGATCTGAAAGCGCCCATACCGGACGGACCAAATCTCATAGCCAATGGGAAGAGCGGTTCTCACTCTGGTTCTGTAAACACGGTTAATATGGCCAAGAGAAATCCGGAGATGGTGCCAGAGGTGACGCCAATGTATAAAGTAAGTTCCGATTTTTGCAGTATGCGAATTAGTTTGAGTAACCGCACTGTTAATGCAAATGTCAATATGGATGATATCACCAGCTGTCTCTAGAACTTCGTCGTATAGGGTCAAAAGAGCAAGCAAGTGCTTGGATGCAGCGGACGATAAGCAAATGATGCGAGGAACTTGTAAGTCGCGAAAACAAGATATCGGGGCTCATAGATGTGTCGCATCAACCATGCCTAGGACGTGGTTTCACCATAAAAGTCGTCAGCTGAGAGCCATGGATTGATGGGTGAAGAGAAAGTAGGTCACGTGATTCTAACAACCCGCCCCACATCCAACAAGACTCCACATGAGAGTCATTGAATGGGTCCGGAAAAGGCGACTGACTCCTCAACGTCTCCTAGTAACGCTGTTGTGCGAACGAAGCTCAAGTAAGAATCAGGACGATCTAAGTAAACGAAAAAACTTCAAAAAGAAGAAATAAATGGAGAAGCAGCAAACACAAATTGTGCAGACCGATCGAACATTTGTGTTGTGAGGGGCAATTGCCGGGATCCCATGCTACATAGCTATCAGTGATAGGTGAGGAGCGAAGCCCAAAACACAGCACGCGCAAACCCACAAAAAGGGGGGAGAAATGGTGGATGAGAACACAGTGCGGAAAACCAATCGGTGGCATGGGGATGCTGCTCTGCAAAACACACTTGGACACAATTGTCCAGACAACTCACCGGCGACGTTACCGTTGTTCAGGAAGTTAAGGGGACATAA